TTTACAACAAAAAAGTTTAACGAACATATTACATTAAAAGAAAATCATTACCAAATTTGGTCATGAGATTCAAAATAATGCGACACGAAAATTATTGTTGCACTTTCTGAGCATAACTTTCAAATTTAAAAAATCTATGAAAAAGAAAATTCGAGACAAGTTTTTTTTTTAGATTAATAGACTCCCTTTTTAAAGCCGAATTGAATGGTGGCGAGTTTTTAAAATCCAATGTGTGGATCACATAATATTTCAAAAAATTTAACTTTTGAGTATAGATGATCCGCACTGTACTAATACCAATACCAATACCAATACCAATACCAATACTAATACTAATGTTATTATTGTCTGACCAATTATGATTTTTGTGTTTTATCATTCAAAATGGAAAATTTTTATGCGGAAGAGCATTAATATGATGATGATGACATTAGTAGATGATAATTTTACATGTGAATGAATAAACACTTTTAATACAAGGTCCAATAGTTCATTGGCTTCAAGTTCCAATTATTTAAGCAGTGGTTCCAGAAGACCTTTAAAAAAAAAAATTGTAACACATAGTTTTGTGTGGAAGCATTTTGAAAAAGTGAAAGATTCAAATGGAAATGAATTTGTAATTTGCAAATTATTATTACAATTATAAAAAAATTTCTTTAGTAAACTAATTAGTTGACTAAAGAAACTTTTGACCAACTAATAGTTGACTAAGGATTTTTTGGACAATTCCAACCTCTAGTTTTGTAAAGTGTAATAGGTTAGACATTATAATTTTCTGATAATCTTTTTATCCTTTTTATATCCTTCCAATCAATCTGCTTTTAATTCATGACATGCACATTGAAAATGCTCTTTTCAATGTCTTGTTTAGCAAAACCTTATGCTTAAAAAATTAAATTTTATTAATAGCAATAATACAAACAAAAGTTTAAGCTTAATAATACAAGTGGATGGTTTATAAAAATCAATCATAATTATTCTAACATATATATAAATAAATACAGGTGGGGTTTTGAGAAAATGAATGAATAGATAATATTTGAAGATGGTTAGAGATGATTAATGGGAATATGTGATGGTGGTGATGGTGATGGTGGTGGATTAATGAATTAATTTTGCAAATGGATAAATAAAATGAGTTAATGAATGGGTAAAAAATACATGTTTGAAATAAATACAATTGAAAAAAAAAATAATTATTATATAAAGATTGATTGAAGAAAAATTTAATAAATATAGGAGAGTATTCACACAACGTTGCTACTATTACTATTATTATTATTATATTCTGTTTTAAAATTTTTTAATTCTACAATGTTGCCGTCACCATTTTCTTCTGGAATCCTCACCAGATAAGAATCCTGATGCTTATCACCAACAGTTTGTTGTCTATTTATTGTTTTTGGTGAGGGTGATGAGGGTGATGTTGGCGTATTAGGAGAAGAGTATGTTGAAGTGATTGATGATGTAGCAGCTCCTCTAGGCTTTACCCACCAACCTTCATTTGAAATATATCTGTAGCAATTTAGAACACCACCAAGCGGTAAAGATATGAAAAATACGAAAAAAGTCCACATTGGTGCTCTCTAAAAAAAAAATATATAAAAACGAACGAATGAACAAATAAATGAGCGCGGATGAATATGTAGAATAAAATAAAATAAATATGGAAGAAAGTATTTACGGTTTTAATATCAATCAAAACATAAATCATGACTGGAGTCTAAAAATTTAAAAAGCATATTAATACAAATAAATATATTAACTCAATCAATTTAATTAACTTTTTACCCATTGTGTGATGAACATAAACAAATAGCCAACGATTTTTCGTAACGCGATTAGAAATTGTTCGTCAACTTGAAGTCTTGAAATATTTATAGTATATGTGATACCGATGTAACAATATATTGATATTAAGAGGATTGTCATATCAACAGACAATAATGCAATATGAATATATTTCGAAATATCGTTAGAATAGCACCTAAAAGAATCATCGAAAGAATCGATTAGGCATATTAGTAAACGTAATAAAAAATATAAATATATATATATCGGAAATAATTGAAGAATTTTACCAATAATCATTTTCAACACTTCCAAAGGAACTCCTAATAAATTGTATATTAAAGAAAATAAATAATGATTATAATTTATAATTGACCTTATAGTAATAATAATATTTACTTGCCATCCGGGTATAGCCAAAATAAATGGTATTACAACAGGAATTATAAATAATTTAAAATCTAATACACCAAGGCTATAATATTTCTGTTTACATACTAATTATTAAATCAATCAATCAATTAATAAACTTGAATCAAAATTTTCTCGATTTTTTAATTAAATATTAATCTTTCTTTACTTACCTCTAAAATAACTTAGAATTGCTAACGATCCCACTAATAGCATGTTACTTATTGCAAAATAAAAAAAACTTGCACCAACAAATTTACATGAAAGACCAGGCCAAATTTGAAGATAAATTACTGGATACGTCTAATATCGTAGATAAATAAATATTTTTTAATAATGATGTTAATGATGTTAATACCATTACGTCACGCGTCCATATATACTCACCAAATTAATTAGTTGTACAACATATATGAAAAAATCTAAATGGTTTGTTGAATGATTTGTTAAATAAACGGTTGGTTAAATGATTTAGCCAAAAATTCTCAAAAAAAAAAAATATATATTATTACCCGAACTTGCTATATAAAAAGGTAATTTATGAGTCATATTTAAAGTTAAATCATCTCTTGACCATCTAATCCAAGTACGTAGCATTACATATAAACTGCTCAAAATACCCAAGAAATATAATAATAATCCAAATATATAGAAAGCGTATATTTCTACATTACTATGAGAAGACAATAAATTTGGTGATGATGTGACATTATTATTTGTCTGATTTACTTCAATACTGTTTGCAAGATCATCCGGCGAAATAGCACAACAAAAATCATTATGTAATAAAACTATTATTATTAAAATAAAAAATATTATTTTTGTTGAAAACATTTAATAACAAAAGCGATTATGATGAATTGGTGTTTGTTTTTTTGTTGATAAGGAATTTGGAATCATTGGAGAATAAAATTCTCGAAATTTGATTTTTTTTCAAAAAGAAAGAAAGAATTAAACAAAATAACTAAACGAAAGACAATAGAATTTAAAAAACGTCAAAAAAAAAATTTATTTTTATTCAAGTTTTTGTCATACAAACACATAATTAATCCGGGCACAATTGACCAATCCATTTAACACGTTTTATAGTGAATTTGAAATTTAAAACTTTTTTGAATTAATATTAAATCTTAAAATCTAAACAAACAACAATTTCTAATTCATTGCTTTTTTTGTAGTTTTTTTTTGGGGCTATTTGTTGAAATTATAACGTCACACCTCGATAATATTTTCTTTGCTATTGACTTGTTGATTATGTAATATGAATGAAGCATTATTTGTTGTTCGAAAGCAGATCCTGCTTGCATAATTACACCAAAACCCTTGCCTCTTTTTTTAGTGTAAGATAGTCAGTCATATTTCTATTCAATAAAGAACGGTAGAGTCATCCTTGTTGTTCATTACTATGAGATACATAATTGTTTTTGGAAGAAGGCAAATTACACACTTATAGTGTGTAACATGTCTTATCTTTTACACGTGTAACGAGGATCTAGTATTGTTGCGATCTACATGTGCACATTCCATAATCGAAAAAAAAAATTTCTTGCTCTTTCTCATTTTTTTTACTTTCCCAATGCTTTATATATAGGCATTTTCAGATCAAAAACTTCTATTTCTGGCTCATTTGAATATCATTAACAATTACTCAAAGTATATCAAGATTTATTCTATTTCTCTCATTGAGAATATTCTTTCTACTTTGATTTTTAGCCACTCGAATGCTGTATAACGTAATACGCACCCTTTCAATTTCAATTGAAGATCACCTTTACAAATGTGTTTTTAGAAAAGATCCAATCATAATTCGAATTTTGTTTGTTTGCGCATCTGATCGGCTCTTTTCTAATCGCAATACGTTCTATATGTCACCCTAATTCTAGAACTCTATACTGATCTACAGAATCTAATTTATTCAATGAAGTTGTATTAGGAAAAACTACCTGTGCGAATTATTAATATTTGTTTGATGGTGTTGATTGATGTTTTGCCATTATTAATATAGAGCCATATTGTTGGTGCTGGTGTTGATGTTCATCATTATTAGTAAAAAGGCGTCCTTCCTCACAAATTAAAAATTTTGATTTGATTAAGATTAGATTAACTAATTTGTCCTTACAAATCTTCCGGTCAAAATTGGTTTTTTTTTTAAAAATAAAAAAATCGATATTAATAATAGTGCATGCATGAATTAATTAATATTAATGCAGATTAAAAAAATCTTAATTTCCGAGGACACCAAAGTTACTTGTTATTTTTTGCACGCGTTTTTTTTGTTTTGAAAATCATTTCTAACTTTGTTATTAAGAAAAAATTAAATTTTATCGTGTAACAAGGAATAACGCACTCACCCACCCGCTTATTTATTGAATGAACGAATGTTTTGATAATCAGTTAATCAATAAAAATCAACATTCAGGTAATACGTTCGATTTGAGTGAGCGATTGACCATACTATAGGAAAATAAATTTTACCACTAACGTCACTTGCATGAATGTTATCAAAATAAAAATAAGGTTAATCAGTTGACCGGTTAAAATAGGTTAAAACGTGGATCATTTTCGATTCATGATTTGTGCATATGCGCTGATTTTGTTTGAACCCCAAAATCCAGTACGGTATGATCATAACGTTATGAATACTTTATACTAGCAAAAATTTGAGGTGAGGTCATTGGTTCGAATAGTAAAATAGTTTTTTTAGCGGAACAAATAAATTTTTTGGGGGGTAATTATCATTCTATTAACCAGTTTACACATCATGTTTAACGTGTTTAACGTCGATACACAATAAGATATAAGGTTTGAAAAAAGGATCCAAAAAACCAGGACCGGGAAAACTATGATTCGAAAAGTACTTTAAAATTTAAAAATGTCACCGCCCACCTGATATTCGCATTAATAAGGAAGAAAAAAAGGTCACCGATCACACTGATTCGCGAACATAGGCTATGAAAAAAGGTTACCGATTACACTATAATTCGCTTATTTTTAGTACTTGTACGTTACACTTGTGATAGATCTTGTTAAAAAAATTATTCACTTCATTTTGCTAATTTTCATGAAATTATTAGTGCTAATCAAGTTATTTACAAATGTGGTAAAATTATTTCTTTAGTTTATATGCGATATAATAACTTATTAATAATTTTTTTTAGTAACTAATCTTGGCTTTGCAAATATTTCTGATATTCATCCATTATGCAAAAATGGATTTTTATTAGTATTTTCTAATAATATCTTGTGTTTGGGAAAAGTTATTACATTTTATGAAAAACGTGGACAAAGACATGCATGGGTTGAAAAGCCTGCAGAAATTTTGGATAATTTATCATATATTTCTATTAAAGTTTATATTCCAGTAACTCAAACAATATTTTTCATGTGGTAGGAGGTGACATTACAATTCATTTATTTTCTGGGGGGCATGCTCATATTCCAATGAGATTTTTTTTATTTACAATTATTTTAGTATGTCAAATACACAAAATTTGCTTTCAAGAATTTTTAATTAAAAAAAATTTACATGTTACAGGCTATATTGATTCGCATCATTAATAAATTGTTAAATGTTACCATCAAATTGATTCGCTCAATTATAAAAAAGCAAGATTCGCATTAATATGATTAGGTGCTTAATTGGGCGGTGACATTCAATAGAGTTTCCCGGTCCTAAAAAACCAAATCGGCTGATATGGATAAATGGAAGACACGCATTTTAATAGTAATAGATAGTAAAATAAGGTGTTAATAATAAGAATAGTCAGAATTCTGAATCATTTTTTAATTGTAGAAATTTAAATTGACAAAACCTCAATTTAATTGTAGATCTTTGTTACAGTCCAGTGTACGTATGATGCAAGCCACTTAGTCCCACAACTTTTTATTGGTTGTATAGATTTTCAAATTCTCCAAAAATGGAAATGCAACACCCCAAAATA